CAGAGAAAGAATTCAATCAGTTCTACAGGTTCAACAACAAAGGTGTGTTTGAAAGGTTCAAAGAGAATGTCCCTCCACTCTCAGATCTCCAATGCCCATGAGCACAGAAAAATGACCTGGTTCCTCCCATATAGTCATTTTCAGGACTATACAAACAATTTCTAAAAAAATACTTCAAATTATTTACACTATTTACATTGTTCGATTACAATAGTTGCCTTTGAACAGCGATTATAAATCTTGGCTCACAAATGTTACTACTGTTGGAAGTTAGGTCCTCACCTGGTGACCTACATTTATAGCTTTATGCCAAACTCAGCAAAGCTACATCATTATTATTATTATTATTATTCTGCTTGCTGAGGATACAATTGTGACACTTTTTGACCTTGGATCAAAGTGTAGTATCTGCCTCATTTTAAACCCTTATAAGCTGGGATCAATTATGTGTTCTGACCCCCAAAAAAAAAAAACAGCTTAATAATATGTAGTTTGAATGAAAGGCATAAGAAAAAAAAATGGAATGTCACTTACCTTGTGGTGGAGGGAGAAAGAAGTGGTGATAGGTGATTTATTTTATAGAGCAACATTACGGCAAACTGGGGAAAAAGACGAATTATAGGAAGGAAGAAAGAGACTATAACACTAGACTGAAAATAGAAGTTGGTGATTTTTATTCATTTTGGCAAACTTGATGAAGCAATGTGCTGGTCAGAAAGAAAAATGATGTACAAGAAAGGTTGTAAGAGATGGAGAGGAAGAAAATTTTTAAGAAAAGAAGGATGAGAGAGATCCTGGAAGAAGCAGAGATTTGAACTACAAAGCCTCATTTACTTTACATTGATACACCCACTCTTGGCCACTTTTTCTTTTTTTTTAAGCTTTCAAACCACATAATATTAAACAAGAAGGAATTGGGGTGGGGAATGAAGTAGAGGAGAAATTGGGGAAAGAGGGTGTGAAAGAAGAGCATGAACAATAAGACAATTAGAAATTATTAAACAAAGAAGTCACAAACTAATTCACTCTAATCATTACATGATGAGGGGTTAGTGAAATGGTTATCAACAGAAAAAGTGGAATCAGTAAGTTCAAATTCTAATCTAGCCACTCACTTTTGTATTAAAGCCATTAGGAAAGGTACGAATCCATCTCTTTTCCTACTAGCTACTGGTTAAATAGTAGGGTAGACTAGGCTCTCTAGACTTGAGTGGCAGCCAAAAAAAGTATGACTCTGAGTTAAAAACCATGGAGAAGGTAACAGGAAACCACAATCCCCCCACCCCCAAGAAGTCAAGGCAATTCACAGATAATAAAGGAAATGTTGCATGTGGAGAGACATGATTGTCTACGTTCTGAAGGAGCATGGGATTTAAAAAAAAATCATTGTATAGTGACACAACAAATTGTGACATTAGTGAGTAAAATGAAGTAGTCATTTGAAACCTGTATACAGAGGCAAGATTTCAGCTTTTCTCCTTGCTGGTCAGTGTCTTTACAGCTGCTCCACCACCCTCAACAACTTTTTTTCCCTTTTTAATCATTTCACTCCAATCAAGGCAATAAAGCCACTAAAACACAAGGGGTTACTGAGTGGGAGAGAATATAAGAAAAATAAAACATTAAGGAGAGAGTACAATAAAAGAACAGGAATTAAGAAAAGAAAAGATAATGATTGACATTGCATTTAAATTTTTAAAGATCGGAGTTAACTGGAGAGCAAGAAGCAGGAAGAGAGTTCCACAAGTGAGAAGTGTGAAAGAAGAGACTGTTAGCATAGAACTTAGTTACATCTAGCCATTTCAACTGTAAAATGATGAGATCTTGCTGCCACACTAGTATTATTTTAACAAATTAAGCATTCCTAGGCAAAACAGAATTAATGATGAAGTACTGAATTTTTGGACTTAAAATTTGTTTTAGCCAGTAACAAAATTTAATATGCATGTTATGAATTGAAATGGAAATTAAGTGGCCAGGAATTAAGGTGTTATTATTAAAATAAGGCTATTATACATATAATATAACGGCATAGCTGATGGTTTTACTAGAGAAATACATTGAAAATCAGGAAGAAAAGGATTGTCTGTAGTTAAGAATTAATGTAAGCATTCAAGTCAATCAGTTATGTGCCATGCATGATGATACATGCTTAGGCAATCATGTATCTTTAAATACATGACTGACGAGACAGATTTTTTTTCTGCAGTAGGTTGCCATTTCTTTCTGCAGTAGGTTGCCATTTCTTTCTGCAGTAGACCAGTTGCCATCCAAGGCCCATAAGTGAATGTAATGGATGCAACTGGAATTCAAACTCGGCTCTCCGATTCTTCAGTCCAAGCTGCTAACCATTAATCCACTGAGCCTCCAAATGTAAGCATTACTGATAGAATAAGTCTATTACATATAAGTGTATAAATGAGTTACTGTAGAAATACATTGAAAATTGTGTTGGAAGATAGTGACCAAAAATCAGTGTAAGCATTACTGATACTAAAGTGTAAAAGTATTGCTGATAATTTTGCTATAGAAAGGAATTTAAAATCAAAAAGAAAGGGATTGTTAGTGGTCAGGAATCAATGCAAGTTTTGAGGACAGAATAAGGTTATTATATTTATAACATAAATGTGAATATATGTAAAAATTCAGATATAAAAAAACATATCTGTAAAAAAAAGAAAAACAAAACCAATATGAATAAAGAAAAAAGTATAACTTCTTTTTGTAAATGCATCTTCCGACAAATTCTATCAATGTAAATGTAAGGATTTTATTTTGCGACAAGTATTTATAAACACAGATGTAAAAATATTGTTAAGTTTTCAGTTTTTTAAATTTAACACTGCTAACTGTAAAAGCCGAGATAAACTATGGAGGATGCTAAGTGATACAATTTAATGCCTAATAAAAATATACTGAGAACCCATCCTGGGTAAGACAATAAACTACATCCAACAGCAAGGCCTCTGATCAGGAGGTTTTGAGGAGTGTGGAACCACCTCTTAATTGCTGGTGTTCCCAGGTCCACCCTGACATGGGGTGGTAGCACCTGCTAGGGTCCCAGCTATGGGCAAATTGTTAACCCCCAAACTGGGGTCAAAACACTATGAAAGTGTAAAAATAGGTTTTAATACCAGAAATACTTTGTAAAAAATATTACCAGTTATACATTTTTGAGAAAAAAAATATTACCAGCAATGGAAAATTATTACCAGAAATAGATTTTTGAAGGAAAAAATATTACCAGAAATAGATTTTTTAAGGAAAAAATATTACCAGAAATAGATTTTTGATGGAAAAAAGTATTACCAGCAATGAAAATTTTGTCAGCATTAAATAACCCACTGAGGTTCATATGCCACAAAACAAAACCAACCAAACCAAAACATACTGATGACACATATTGATCAAAACAAGAAAACAGTTGAGGATTCTCATAAAAATAATTCATAGAATTTTTTTCTTTTCATTATTCCTTTTTTATTCCTATTAAAGACAAGCGGGGCGGGGGGGGCTTTTTTATCATTTCACCTCAAACTAGGCAATAAAGCCACTAAGACACAAATGGGTTATTGAGTGAAAGAATCTCTGAGGAAAAAAATTTAAGGAGAGAGGCCAATAAAAGAACAGGAATTAAGGGGACAGAAGATGATAAGTAACATTGCATGGTGTTCTATATTAGAATATAGTATGCCATGCATTGCACTTAAATTTTTGAAGATCAAATTTGATTGGAAATAATAATTAATAAATAGCATGTTTATGGAGAAGATACTTGTGGTGCAATGGATAACAATTCAGAATGAGAAATCGGAGATCAGTTTGAATTCCAATTGGGTTGTTAATACACTTGGGAAATGTATGAATCCATCTCTTCTCCCCCCAGCTGTAGGTTGAATAGCAGGATAAACTGGGTCTTATAACCTTGGTTGGCAACCTTCTGTAGGAAAATCTTCAGCCGAGTCAGTCATGAATCAAAAGTGACATGACAGCACAAGTATGTGCTGCATATGGCATTTAAACTGACTATTATTGAATGTGTCTTAATTTCTTAATGAACAATTCTCCAAAGTTAAGTAGACCAGAGGAGATTGAGAAATGTTAAATCAAGATGCCTTTTTTATGTACTGCATCCCTTTGGGATTTGGATGATCATGGCTCTCCACAACTTCTTGTTCCTTGTGGGTCTAAGCAATGTTTGAATCTTTACCATCACTCTTTGTCCCTGCTCTGCTACCTATTCACACAAAGTTGTTAGGTAATAGTAATATATAAAGTTGTTAGGTAATAGTAATATATAAAGTTGTTAGGTAATAGTAATATATAAAGTTGTTAGGTAATAGTAATATATCCTTATAAGGAAGCATTCAACATTCATTGATGCAGTAGCCAGTAATGCTTTCAGTTGAAATTTATAAAATCTTCCCCTAAACCTTTAGCAATGTGCATTATTAATATTACTTCCCTTTCCACTGCATTCTTTTTCAAAGCCTCTCAATTACAGTAACCTTATTGTTAATTTCACACAAAGTTGTTATCTGTTCCCATAGCAGGATATGACAACACAACTATGAAATTCAAACACACTATTGTTCATAGATCAGTCACCTTCAGTGGCAGAATATACTTTTTGTATACAGCATATGAAGTTGTATACAGTGATAAAGGTTAAAACAGTTTTTTTAAGAAAACAGGTTTCTCAAATCCAGTAGCTGTTATCGGTCTTTCCAGTATTGATGGGGGTTTCCTTCCCAACCTTTTGTTTGAGGTGGTGTGGAATGATATCATCTTGATTATGTTATTTTTTTCTTCAAGTTACATGTGCTATCCATTTTAGTTGAAGGTTACTAATATATATATATATATATATATATATATATATATAATCAATTAGTATTTTCTCTATTTGTGAAAAATGTGACTGACACTATCTGAGTGAGTTTTCTGAAATTTTTGACAGTAAAAATCTGTTATTTTTATTTTGACTTCTTTTCAACCAGGGACATTAGTGAACAATGTGTCAGCTGCCAAATATCGTTCTCCAAGTGCTGAAGAGGTTGATGGTAAGCCTTCTTTCCGGTTGCCCTCGCTCACTCTCTCTTTCTGATGCTGTCTATCTTCTCCCCACCCCCCAACTCCCCCTCCTCCCGCATGTGTATTCCTCTACCCACTCTTCATTTCTTGACCTTACCTCACCTCACTTCTTGACAAGTTCATATGTGTGCCTAGTGATGTTTTCCTCATTGTAACTCTGTTGTGGGCAAAGTGGTTTTGACTTTTTTATTTTTTTTTTTAAGTTTCTATCCATTTATTTTTGTTTTTAACGAGCTTGTATTTAATTTAATTGTTTATTATTTTCTATCCGATTCCTGATTTATCAAATTCTCTTGGCATCTTGATCGTTTTTTAATTTTTCTTTCTTTGCTTTCAAAAATTATTATTATATACTTTTACATTCAGACGAGTATCCTCATTTTGATTGTTTCACTTGCGTCTTTGTCCGAATGCAAGGAAATATAGTAATGATTCTTCTTTGCAAAACTTCCAACATAAATTACTACTTACCATATTTTACCTTGCAGGCATGTGTTTAACCAATTAACAGGTAAATAAATGTGGAAAAAAAATCAACACACAAAGTGCTTAATGTGAAGAGGTACAGAGCAACATATATAATTTAAAGAAACCTGCATAGCAACCTCTTAATCAATTTTCACCACAAAGACTCTTCAGGCCGCAAGTGCTAAAATGCATATTTGCAAACAATTTAACCTAGTTTGTTAAACCAGCAATATATAGAAACATGCATAAATAATTGAAATGTTAAAGCCAAAGATGTAGAAAATGGCAAATGCCTCAATATGGTATATTTCTTGGGTCTCTTAGAGAGAAAAATATAAAGAAGTTTAGGGTAGAATAAGAAAAGATTAATTTAGAACTAATTTTAATGGGATTGGCAAATAAGATTTTACAACAAAAGACTTAAACATTATGTATTTTATATTCTTTGTTTATAAGAATATTTTTATATAGTTTGAGAAAAAATGATATACATTATGAAATGGACAAAGTCCAACAATTATTTAAGACATTTTTTATATTTATACATTCTTTTTATAGATACAAATATTTAAGTAAATGTTCTGTTTATAATAAACAGTATTAACAAAATTTACCGGCCTGAATGTCCAAGAAATTTTCATAGAAAATATGCGTCTTCCGACAGGATTCAAACCTGTATCCTATACGGAACCATCATTTAGCTTGATGTGCCTGTACCGATTTGGCCACAGAGGAGCGTTCAGTTAGCAAGTTCGAATTTATTGTATTTAAACTTCAATCTTCCATGAATCTCTCATGTTCATTCATATCTGCTCATGGCGTATCAAATGTAAACAAATGACGTCACACATTATGAAATGGACAAAGTCAGACAGTTATTTTAAGACATTTTTATGTTTATACATTCTTTTTATAGATACAAATATTTAAGTAAATGCTCTGTTTATAATAAACAGTATTAACAACATTTACCAGCCTGAATGTCTGAGAAATTTTCATAGAAAATATGCATCCTCCGACAGGAATCAAACTTGTATCCTATATGGAACCATCATATAGCCTAATATTGTGTGTCCTCTCCCAGCTGTCGATGAATAAAAAATATGCTTGGTCGATAAAAGCAGATAGTGTTCTCAAAACGGGGATAAATTTTGTGTATTTGGTTACTGTGTTCGTTGGTGAGAATGCTGATTTGTGACCTCATGCGAATCATGATTTCAACATTACTTTTTGACCTTGATATTCGAGTTCGAACTTGCAGTTTGTTTTCTTCATTGAGGAAGTAATCTGTGGCATCAATTTCTGAACTGGAATTTTAGTTCAAGCACAGCAAAACCGACTACATGAAGTTAAGCAATAATGAGCCCAGTCAGTACCTAGATGAGTAACTACTTAGGAATACCAAGTGCTGTAAGGTTGGATGTGTGGGTGGTATAATGGCTCAGAATTGTTAATCAGAGAACCAAGTTCCAATTACAATCAGGTTCATTATATTCACTTACATGCAAATACCTTTGGGAAAGATATGAATCCACCTCTTCTCCCCACAGGTAATTAGTAAGATTTGTATCAGTAAATCATTATCTCAAAAAAAAAATTTTTTTTTTTTCAATCTAAAAATATTTTATGGCTTTAAATAACCTGCAAAAGTTTGATAAGTCATAGAAAAGAAATCCATCAACAATAGATTCTTAGAAAATTTCACCTTTCTGGGCAGATCTTTTATTATCACAATGTGTGATATTTAATAACAAAAGTGATAAAAACATAAACAAAAAGAAATTAATGAAATTGGTGCGACTATATACCCAGACACATATTAATTTTAATTTAAAAGTTTAAAATTTCAGCATCTCCACTCTTGTGTGTATGTATAATTGCATCAATATAAACATCACTTTAGTCCAATGAAGTCCTAAAGGAGAAAACGCATCACATGGAAAAATTTTCCACTTTGTTATTAATTTTCCTAACATTTACAACCTTATAAAAATATTGGAACCAACTACAATGCCATATTTATTAAATACAACTCTGAGTAACTGTATAACTTTTAAAAATATGCATTTTCCAGTCATTTCTTTCATTGTGCGGAGAGTATATCTTTATGGGGAGAGTATTGCTATATAAATTTACGAAAATAGTTTGCAGGTATCTGGATTTTTTTTTTTTTCTCAAGAATTAAAAACAAAAATTTTAACACTATTTATTAGCTGCCTATATTTCTGAGATGAACTATTGTAATTATTTACACTATTTACATTGTTTGGACTGTTCTCCTCATCTTTGTTGTCATATTCACAACATTTTGGCCATTGTACACTCCAGCCTTTTTCAGGTAATTGGAATTTCAAACAAAACCAAGCTGGCCACCAGCAAAGGTGAACAAAAACTTGAAGAGTTGAGTTACTAAAAACTGAAATATCTGGAAGAGGCATGGCACATGGAACTAGAACAATCTACCCTGGTGGACAAAAAATAAAGGGTTCAGTTTGAAATTCCAATCCCCTGAAGTAGGCCGGAGCATACAAAAGACAAAAAATTGTGAATATGACAACAAAGATGAGGACAACAGTCCAAACAATGTAAATAGTGTGAATACTATTTATTAGACACTTTAATTAGTTTGTTTATTTCTTTTGTTGCCAATTTTCAAGAAAAAAAAGAAATTCGTAAGTTTATTTTGATTTTAAATTTGGGTTAAATATGTTAAATATTAAATAATTATAATTAATATTTATATAGATTAATTAATATATACTTTTATAATTTATATTGATTATATAGATTAATTATTATAATCATAAAAAATTATTAATAAGATAATTATTGTGACTATTACAAAATATTATTACAAGATAATTATTAATAAAATAATTATAATTAATAGATTATCTAGTTATATAGATTATTTAATTAAATAGATTAATTATAGATTACTTAAATATTAAATTAATATTAAATGTTTAAGTTTGGGTTTTATTAAAATTCTAAAATAGCTTTTAAAGCAATAAAAATTACCAAGGGAAGTATACAATAATAGACTTGTCAAGAGAAAAACTGTCCTTTTGATATACTGTTTTTTTGCAGGTTCAAATATGAAACTTGGTCTAAATAATAATATAAAAGAATCGTATATATTCTTCAATTGTGTAATTGACATAAGCATTAGAATAAAGGTGTGGAAAAAAATTCACCTTAATACACCAAAGTATGCTTCCTCTTTTATATTGTAGCTTTTTGTTTCTATGTAATTGTACTAAAAGTTTGCATGTTTCCTAAGTGTTGTCATATTGATGGTAACTGTCTACACCAATTGGTTTTAAATTAATTTTCAGCTGTGTATATTAAAATTCCCAACCTATCGAGGAAATAGAAAGGCAGACTAAGCTATTTAGCATTGGGTGGTAACCAACTGAGAAGAACAACAATTTTGAATTCCAAACCAGAAGTTTTGTTGTTGAACTAGTAATGCCATGACTCTATAAAACCTTACTTCTGACTAAAACTGCCTCACCTTTTATAGTGTTACAGACCTATGCTTGATAATAGGCTATAGGTTTCAAGAGGTTTTAAGTATACTGGTCCACTCATAAAAAATATGGAAAAAAGTGTTTGAAATAATTTTTGTAGATTAGCATTGATTAGACCTTCCTCAAGGCATGAAATTTGGCCAAATCAAAATATATTTATTTTTTTATTTTATCATTTTTGAAGTGAAGGTCCTGTTCATAATATTGATATTGTGTAAAATCGATCTCTGACATTTTTTTAAAGAGTTATTGGACTAAGGCTTTTTGCAAAAAACTTTTTATAAAAAAAAATAGATATATACATTTTAATTAAAGAACAAAAATTTGCATAAATTAGTAAAAGTATATATCCATTTATTCTTCATTTCAGTTAAATACCTATTGTCCTCCAATGTTTGTGCATGTACTTCTGAAATAAAATCCCCCGCCCCAAACAAACAGTACTGTATTTTTCAGAATATAAGGCAAGCTTATTTTGAAGATGATTTTACTGTGTATCCAATGAAAATTGTGATATCAATTAGGCTATTACCGACTTTAAGTGAATTAAGCCCTCTGATTGGTGATCTGCATTTCAAATTTGAAATCCATACAATTGTTCAAAGGAACTAAACCATTCCTATTTAAAAGCATGATTGTGTATATAATATATATATATATATACACACACACACACACACACACGATGTAATAGATAAATTGTCATGTAAATTACGCAGATAGGAAAATAGCACTAACATCTCATTTTAACAGATATATTTAACAAAATTACATCTCTTGAAATACTAAAGAGTAAATTTATTCAATAAAATCGCCATTGGCTTCAACAATGGCCTTCAGATGACTTCACAATCTCCTGCAACTCTTCTGGGTGGTATGCATTTGACTATTAAACACAATCTTCAGGCCACTGTGTGCACACATACACACTCGCAAGTGTGCGTGATATATACAAGATATGCATTTGA